GGGAAAGCAGAGTCGGCAGTGAAAATTGCAAAGAACATTTTAAAGAAATCACGGCAAGAGGACCCCTATATTGCTTTGCTGGCATATCGCAATACACCACAGCAGGGTCACGTTTATTCCCCGGCACAGAGATTGATGTCTAGAAGACTCCGGGATCTGATTCCCATGGCTACAAGCAAACTCCAACCACAACTAACAGTGCCAAGTGTAGTGACCCAGAACATTGCGGAAAGGAAACAAAAGGCCAAGACCCACTATGACAAACGAGCATCAAAGCAGCTCAGTGAATTTGCAATCGGCGAGAGAGTCTTCGTGAAACCGAGCCCGAGGAACAGAAGCAAACCCTGGATACATGGTGAGGTGGTTAACAAGCCTGCGCCAAGATCATGCACTTTAAGTACTCCATTGGGGCTTGTTCGTCGGAATCACGCACAAATTAGGAAAGCATCCACCGATCCGGTGCGCGGCTACAGTGAATCGGTATCAATCGACACAGATGTAGCATCAGATACATCTGAGCAGGTGGACGACCCCTCAAGTCCAAACAGCGGTGGAACAGAACAGGTGGAGCAGCCCGAGTACGTGAACCCTGAACATCATGCATCACCGGAAATCGTGCTGCGGAGGTCGTCTAGGAACCGGAAGTTACCCTCCAGATTTAAAGATTACGTAATGAACATTAGTTGAACACTTGCATAGCTTTGAGACATCGAGACATGAAGTACTTTGACTTATCTCATGGATTACGCCATAGCACAAACTGTTACTCTGTATCGTGTGTTTCGTGACTTTATTCATTTATGTTCATTTTATTTTATTTTTTTATTTTTTATTTTTTTTCATGAAAGGAAAGGTGTTGCACGTTCACATGTAACTCATTAGCATACGTAGCTTGTTGCACGTGCATTTGCAATGTGCAGTAAATTAGCATATCCAACTTGTTACTTAGACTTTGACATTTCGCAATTAAAGCAATATCTTCATCGAGTGCACCACGCTATCAACAAAAGAAATTGAATAAGATCGATAAAGTTTGAAACAGTTCGAATTCATTTTCTAAGTGACATTTTCGGTTTGTTGTCATCCAGAAATTTTGCTACCATAGCGACGTGGCGTAACAACCTCTCTATATGGCCGCCGTTTCGTTGTTTTGTACACAAATATGGCCGCTGTGACGTCATGTGAAAACGATTTTTACGCGTAGGGCTCCTCTACACACACAAGAACAGTTGTGGCGGCGTGATTTTTGTGACGGAGCGAAGGTGCTCCGGGCCGATCTCGAAAGTGAAGTGTCACATATCGGATAGGTTCTGTGCCATAATTTGGTGTAGTGTGAACAACTATTCGGTCCGTCGCGGAAGTAAATAAGTAGGAGCCAGGAATGGAACTCACTGAGACGGAAGTAAATATTCACGAGTGATAAATATAGTGACCAAACCCTCTCGGCCAATGCACCGGCACGATATTCAGCATAGCCTGAATCCGCCTGAAATAACCGGGTTACTAATTCGCTAAACCATGATGGATAAATAATAAATAAATAAATAAATAAATAACGATTTGCAGGTAGCACATCCACATAGTGGTTCCTCGTCTACCTAATTCCTGGGCGAATTGGAATTTGGAAATGTTGGTTTTTGAGGAGAGAGAAAAACCGGAGTACCCGAAGAAAAACCTCTCGGAGCAAGGGAGAGAACCAACGACAAATTCAACCCACATATGGCGTCGACGCCGGGATTTGAACCCGAGCCACATTGGTGGGAGGAGAGTGCTCTCTAATCTCGTACCCAGAGATCTGGGTACGAGATTAAGTGCTCTCACCACTGCGCCACTGAATTTTATACAGTCGAACGACTTGTAAGGCACACATCTGCAACAAGAACACTTGACTCTATCCCTACGGTTTCTTTATTGACAAGGTGTTGGTTTGCAAATGAAAACATTGCGTGAAGAATATCATTCATTATACCGCGGCGTTTGATATATAGAATCTCATTTTACCGGAGTTTGCTTTCCCTGTGTTCCTAGTTGTCATGCCTAAAGGTAGATCAGGAGATAAAGCCAACCATTTTTCTCACGTCCGTAGTTAAACAAATCGAATTTCATTGTTGTTGTAAGAGAAACAATGTCAGTATTTAAATAATTCGTCGGGAGTGCTAGAAAAAGAATTAAAATAAAATAGAATTTAATTTATTTTCCATTTTTGATTATCAGTGGGATTTCTTACCCTGCTAAAAGGTTTCGAAAAAAAAAAATGACTAGTAAAAATGTTAAAAGCCTGGACAGGTATACCTTAATTCGTTGAATATTTTATGTTTAAACATATTGAACAAATGGTGAGAGAAGGATTTTTTCCTGACACTTTATCCGGTTTTTCAATTCGGATGTCACAATAAAAGTAATTTACATATGAATTGCGCTAGCTTTTCACGTCGACATAAATCAGATTCAGATCATGAAACGATATCAGTAGAGACGTCATTTTGAATTTAAATTGGAATTTTTTATTGGAATTTTTCTAAGTTCTTTCCCGAACGTTTCAAGTTCTTACGATAATTTGCATCAATATATTTAATTCGGTTTTCCACATGAAGCTTCAATTCGTGATAATAGTAAATCCAGGTAAACTTCACTGATGAGCAATTTACGTGGCTCTCTTTTATTCTGCAATACATTCAGCTTCATTTAAAATTTAAGTTAATTGTAAAAACAAAAAATATAAATATTTTAAAACTAACTTAAAACACATAACCTTGAAAAAAGGTGTTCCTTGTCTAACCGTGACTTGAAACTCTCTGCTGACGGAATAATTCCATGATCTTAATTCGCTACTGAACATTGAACAAATGTCAATCCTCAAAACAGTTCGTACTCCTCGGGTGCTCCGAATCTCTCTTTCTTCCAGATAACTTTCCAAATAATGAGACAACCATAACAGAAGGTAACGAAGGCTATAACCAAAGCGATGGCTGAATCTAGCCACCAAGTCGAGTGCATTTCGTTGTAGATGATCGTACTTGTGATCAAGCCCAAAGCCATGGCAGCCCCACAGGCTGAGTCTATTGAGTCAAGCGTTTTGTAGAAGCCCTTCTTCACTATTATTGTATTCAAATAAACATTAATTATTTTAATAATTAGTGTTTAATTAATAAAATACGCAAACAAAACACAATGTAAATATGCATAAACAAGAATTATGCAGATCTCGAAGGATGTTATAACTATCCAAGCCTCTGTTTTGGCTTATTATAGCCACCTTTATCTGCATAAATTCTTCAAATGATTGTTTTATTATTTTAATTGGCAGCCTGTGTTCGTGGTGAACAATTCTTGCAAGACCCACTTGGACAAACAGTAGCGAGGGAAAGCCGGATCTTGTCTAGATCAGGATCAGCAATATAAAATAACACTTAAAATTGACGGCAAGGCTGATTGGACAACTAAGGGTTGATAATTTACAAATTTACTGCCAATATTTCGACTACACAAAACTAGTCTTCATCAGGGGCATCAATCACATTTTATTTTTATATTTGTTATTTTAAAGGCCATCGCTTTATTCTATTCTCACTAAGCTTTTCTCGCCCCTGAAGAAGACAAGTTTTGTTTAGTCGAAATATCGGGCAAATAAATTTGTAAATTATCAACCCTTATCTGTCGATCAGCCTTGCCTTCAATTTTATGTGTTCTTGGTTTTGCGACTGCGATCACCTTAATAATGGACGTATTATAAAGACTGAATCAAAAGACGGTGATAAGCTAGGAGTTAACCAACAACATATCACCTATTTTCAATTTCTTGACAGTGAAAAAATGATCGAGCTTAACTAATAATAAATTTCTTACATAAATTTTGGAATAAATGAGTGGTCCAATTATGGGCCCGAAGGGCAAAGTACCTCCTTGTTTCCAAGGTTAAATAATTTGTTAAGAATAAATTGGGGCGAAAGATCTTTCTATACTGGTTCGGCTGTTTTCAAAAACTGTTAATATATTTTCGGTATAATTTCCTTGGCGACTTGATTCTCTCCAGTCAGGAATTATCAACGATATCCGCGGGGCCTTCGACAAACAATTGTTAAATACAAAATAAGTGGCTTTCAGATTTCTAATAATACCTTTCAACACAACCAATTCGTTTTTCCAAGTTGTCCAAAGTTCTGAAATGATTAATTTATTTTACATTTGTTCAAGAACAATTTCATTGATGTGGTTGTACAAATGTCATCTAAAAAAATTGGAGTAAAACTGGGGAAAGTAGATAAATCAGACCGATATCTACAGGTCTTTTCTTACACTGAAATTCTGGGAGTTTTATTGCTTAACGTTTACAAAGCGAAAAATGTATTAAGGTGATTCTCTGGTTTTGCACTGCACTGCGCATCTCTTACTGCGCATAACAAGATGGCCGCCGTAAAAAAGAGCATGTGAAGTAACATTATTAAAATGAAGTTGACTGAAGAGAAACGCTATTTTTGAATTTTTGCTTGCTGTTGTTTCTTGCCGAGGTGAGACTTAATGTATTGGGAAAGTGCATAACGTAAGCAGTACGCGTGTTGCTGAGTTCGACTTCCTCACGGAGAACCTCGATAGTGGATGTTTAACTTATGCTTTCTCACTTTGATTTTCATTTAAACGCTTTCTTTATCACATTAAAGGTAACGAAGGCTATAACCAAAGCGATGGCTGAATCTAGCCACCAAGTCGAGTGCATTTCGTTGTAGATGATCGTACTTGTGATCAAGCCCAAAGCCATGGCAGCCCCACAGGCTGAGTCTATTGAGTCTATTCTCAGTGCTAAACTGTGTAACTTGTCTGCAATGCGGAACTTGAGCCAAAAAAACGCAGAGTAGCAGATAAATCCAATCACCGATATGGCTAGGAGGGTGATGGTTTGTCTCGGCTCTAAATCACTGAGAAGGAATTGTATCGCTCGTGCGCACATCATAATCGCAGATAAGATGAAGCAGAGCGCGATAGCTAAACACGCTTTACGCTCCTTTTCAGGGCCTAACACGCCGTTGACGCCATTGTAAAAACGCCAGACTATTACTCCTGATGAAAAGACTCCAAGTAAAGCGTCAAACGCTATGGCAAATGCGGCGGAGCTCTCGGAAATCCCCGAACTTACAAACGATGCGATGGCAAGCAACAGCGTAACGTACATAGAAGCAAAGGATACCGCTAACGCCGCTCGACGCCAGCGCTGTTTCTCTTGAGCTGAAAGTTTCAAATTTCGCTTTTCACCCTCGTCGTCAAAAGGCGATACGCAAGGAAAAGTTCCGAAATCTTCTTGAGGTTTCACTGACCCCACTGACATATTTAGTGTCCCTTCTTGTTCCAGAATTGGAGTTTTCGCGGATGTCTCGTATACTTGTTGAGAATCTCCCATCTTTGGAAAAAATATTACAAATTTAACCGCCTTTTCCGCTGGTAGTTTTAAGTTTTAAAATGTGAGCTTTTGCCACGGTTAAGCAGGAATTTTTCAGCAAGATTTCAAGCATTCAGTTTTCACTGACTTTTTTCCCTTCTGAAATTATAAGCAGAATAATCTGATTTTGTTCAAATCTTTCTTGTGTAATCAGTCTACTGGAGAGGTGTCGATAGCAGACTCCAAGTCATTTTAAGCTTCTATGGCGACCAGTTTAACAACAGAGAGAATATAGATGAAAGTAGTGGCTTTCAAGTTTTTTTTTCGGAAGCAGAATTTTAATCCGGCAGTTACTATGTTGAAGAGAAATCTTTCGTGGTTAAAGCGCTAATTCAGTTGAATAGATCAGAGAATACGTATTATCCATTCATAGCCAGAAAAACCCAAACCTTGGCGCGATTTTAAAAAATAAGAAGCATACTGTATCTGCTGATCATGAAAGGTTCTTTCCCTTCTGAACGTGCATGATTGTCTTGTGCTGATCCATCAGAGAACTTTGTACTATTAAAATGAAAAGTTAAAATCGAGAGACGCATAATATTTTTTGCGGTAAAGAAAGGAAATTTCAGCGACAGCAGGTGTTAAAAGAGAATGCCGATTGGACGATATCAAATGCAATTACTTTCCTTGGCAAGTTTCTAACCAATCATTTGATATTTTACCGGAACCATAATCAGCGATATATTCTTCGTCTTAAGCTATTAAAGGCCGGAAAAACTTCGGCCCACTACCGGATTTACATGAAACATAATGGTAAATTTTTAACCGAGAGTTTTCAAATTGCTTACCGTAATTTAAGTTACGAGAAGTAGACGTGTCTAATTCTTACTTTTGTCCGTAAAAGTTACGGACAAAAGTTGCAAGAGAGTTCTTGTTAATAGAATAATGTAAAAAATGATCTATCCTGTTCCAATAATGGAAAACCTCATTCCATCTCGTTCAATTTGTTAAATGATGACGACTTTTTATGGAGTTGAGTTCTAAAGAAATTCATCTAAGTTCAGAAGAAGAAAATAATCATTGCCTCGCGTTCACGTGTTTCATGAAACATACTGGGAAGTTTCAAGTCACGTGGTAAGTTGTTGTTTTGCTAATCTAAACCATAGTTAGTAGAGTGTCTAAACCTATTGCTTTTTTTCATTGCGTTCTCCTTGCCGTCGCCGTCGTCTTTGCAACTAACCTGCTTTTCCTTTATTGAAAATAATACCCTTTTTAAATAATGTAAAAATTATTGTGTGCGTACACATTTTACCGCAGCGTTTTGTAGAAGCCCTTCTTCACTATTATTGTATTCAAATAAACATTAATTATTTTAATAATTAGTGTTTAATTAATAAAATACGCAAACAAAACACAATGTAAATATGCATAAACAAGAATTATGCAGATCTCGAAGGATGTTATAACTATCCAAGCCTCTGTTTTGGCTTATTATAGCCACCTTTATCTGCATAAATTCTTCAAATGATTGTTTTATTATTTTAATTGGCAGCCTGTGTTCGTGGTGAACAATTCTTGCAAGACCCACTTGGACAAACAGTAGCGAGGGAAAGCCGGATCTTGTCTAGATCAGGATCAGCAATATAAAATAACACTTAAAATTGACGGCAAGGCTGATTGGACAACTAAGGGTTGATAATTTACAAATTTACTGCCAATATTTCGACTACACAAAACTAATCTTCATCAGGCGCATCAATCACATTTTATTTTTATATTTGTTATTTTAAAGGCTATCGCTTTATTCTATTCTCACTTAGCTTTTCTCGCCCCTGAAGAAGACAAGTTTTGTCTAGTCGAAATATCGGGCAAATAAATTTGTAAATTATCAACCCTTATCTGTCGACCAGCCTTGCCTTCAATTTTATGTGTTCTTGGTTTTGCGACTGCGATCACTTTAATAATGGACGTTTTATAAAGACTGAATCAAAAGACGGTGATAAGCCAGGAGTTAACCAACAACATATCACCTATTTTCAATTTCTTGACAGTGAAAAAATGATCGAGCTTAACTAATAATAAATTTCTTACATAAATTTTGGAATAAATCAGTGGTCCAATTATGGGCCCGAAGGGCAAAGTACCTCCTTGTTTCCAAAGTTAAATAATTTGTTAACAATAAATTGGGGCGAAAGATCTTTCTATACTGGTTCGGCTGTTTTCAAAAACTGTTAATATATTATCGGTATAATTTCTTAGGCGACTTGATTCTCTCCAGTCAGGAATTATCAACGATGTCCGCGGGGCCTTCGACAAACAATTGTTAAATACAAAGTAAGTGGCTTTCAGATTTCTAATAATACCTTTCAACACAACCAATTCGTTTTTCCAAGTTGTCCAAAGTTCTGAAATGATTAATTTATTTTACATTTGTTCAAGAACAATTTCATTGATGTGGTTGTACAAATGTCATCTAAAAAAATTGGAGTAAAACTGGGGAAAGTAGATAAATCAGACCGATATCTACAGGTCTTTTCTTACACTGAAATTCTAGGAGTTTTATTGCTTAACGTTTACAAAGCGAAAAATGTATTAAGGTGATTCTCTGGTTTTGCACTGCACTGCGCATCTCTTACTGCGCATAACAAGATGGCCGCCGTAAAAAAGAGCATGTGAAGTAACATTATTAAAATGAAGTTGACTGAAGAGAAACGCTATTTTTGAATTTTTGCTTGCTGTTGTTTCTTGCCGAGGTGAGACTTAATGTATTGGGAAAGTGCATAACGTAAGCAGTACGCGTGTTGCTGAGTTCGACTTCCTCACGGAGAACCTCGATAGTGGATGTTTAACTTATGCTTTCTCACTTTGATTTTCATTTAAACGCTTTCTTTATCACATTGTGTCCTAAATGTGATATCTCGATGTAAATTCTGTAAAAGCGGATTTTTTAATACTTTCTTCCCCCTTTCACTTACATTCTATTTTGAAACTCGCCCCAGTCCTCTCTCAAAAATCGGAGAAAATGCACTTGGTGGGCACTTTCTGTAGTTCTACCGCAAAAACGAGTACCGTGGCCCCCATTTTTTATTTCATGATTTTAATAAGGACAGTGCTTCCTTTCGATGAGAAAAAAATTGGCACAAATCTATGTTCAGTTTTTTGGCAATCTTACTAAATTGTACGGATTGAGCTATCACGGTCCGAATAGCACGTGTCCAATTTAATTCTACTTTGGAGCGTAAAGTAAAAACAAAGGCATTAAAAGGCATTTTTCTGGTATGTAAGTGGATAAACAAATTCCGTGCGATACCACATGCATCATGGAAAAAAATCTCTCCTTTTTGTCTAGTTTTGGGCTGCCCGCGGTTTTGTAAAAGCGCCCTAAATAGCCGTATTTGTCAGCATTGTGACATCAACACGAGCACGGTGACCCCGTCTTCTTGACTTGTTACATCAGTGTACCAAGTTTCATCTACAATCTATGTTAGGTTCTTTTACTAGGGAATCACCTTAAGTGAAAAGAAACGGCGAGAGAAAGGTAAAACTCTATGTTAAGTAAGATAACTTATTTATTACTAAGTTTTTATGTATTTTTTGAGTTGTTTTTAAAATAAATACAGCTGTATTTATTATAGATTTTATTTATACACGTTCGTATTTTTAATGAGTTTTTTAGCTCCTCGAGGTAACGTGTCAAAATAAATGATTGATTGATTGATGATTGATAACTGATATTCGATGATTTTTTCAAGGATATTTAACAGTTATTCTTTGAAATCGAGGTAAATATTCCTAAAGCCACTATTCACCGAGATTGAAAAGAATAATTGTTTTACCGGGTATATACACATGAAGTGATGTCAACAAAATCAGAGAGGAAACCATTAAAAGGTACCATTTGATTGATTGACGGATCAAATCACTCGAAAGTCTAAAAATAGATCTTTGCAGAATTTCTAAACATGACAATTCACAAGTTTATCACTTCGCAAACAAAAGCGTATTGGCTCATACGGAACCTTACCTTACCAAAATTTTAACGGAATTGCGATCACAAAAAAATATCAATAAAAATAAAAACAAAGATCTTTGACTATAGTACTATTTTGTTTAGTTAAATGTCAGCATGATGGGTTAAGTAATGGGCCAACATACTTTCGCATACTCACTGCTTCCTTAGCAGCCAGATAACAAGAAATGAAAACCAATAATAAGGTAATCTTGATTTCAACTCAATTATCAATACATGATCAAGCTTATAACACCGTTTTCAATCCATAAAATTGATACAAGACGATAGTCTGCATCTTATTCTTCTCTAAAAGTAAACGAACGGTGCTGATTAGAATTCAAAGGTATGACCCTAGGATAAATAGGCAGCATACATTACGACGAGTTATTTGTTTAAAATAATACATTCAATGGCAAATTTAGACAAAAATAAGTTATCTCCATTCATTCCTGGCACATTTTCCTCGCCTCTAAAAGAGAGGTTTGGAGTTTGCCAAGGAGATGGAATCCGAAAAAAATGTTCCATCTCACGAAAAATCTTCACAGAGAGCGAGTGAGAAAGAATCACTGTTACAAGCTACAGATGAACACAGCTTGTCAGCGATAATCATACACAGGGAGGATTATCCATTGAGATATTAGAGAAATGGTGCAAGGTGACAATTGTTGTTTGCCTTGCTTCTATAGTTTTCACATTGGTTCTTGCGATCGGTGCGTTAGTCATCTCTCAGACCTCGGATAGTTCCTCTGCTTTTGCAGTAGCACTCGACGTTGTTCTGGCCATTACATCATCAGGATCTGTTATATGGAGGTTTTACTACGGGATAAATGGCAACGGGCGGACGAGGAGGGAGTGGAAAGCCTGCACCATCATTGCCAGTTGTTTTATCTTCTCAGGGGTTTTGGTGGTCGGACGAGCTATTATCTGCATCGCGAGAAATTACAAGCCGCGTCATGCCCACGGTTTGCTCATCATGTCAGTAATCAGTTGCGTGGGTTATTTTCTGCTTTTTCTCGTCAAACTGTGTTTAGCAAAGAAACTTGAAAGCTCAGCTCTTGTCGCAAACTCAATAGACGCCCTTAGTGGTTTTGGAATGTCGGCCGGTGTGATAACAAGTGCTTTGGTGTTAGAATACATTCGCAAAGCATGGCTTATAGATCCATGCACCGCGATTGCCATCGCTTTAGCGACAGTTATCTACGGAATTGAAATCTTGCTTCGAGTTGAACGAGAAAAGAAGAAAGTCAAAAAAGTTAGAGAAGCCGGTCAAGAGCTTCAGGAGAAATAAGATGCAAAAAGGGAATCGGACAAAAAACGATAACTTCAGTGTACGTGTGTGACTGATTTGCTGTTTGGCTCCAACGGGTGCTTCTCCCTCAAGAAAGCTGTCACTTCTTGCTATTTACTTATGCACACACTTCAACCTACACACTCTCTCCTGCTAGTCTAGTCTACAAAACAAAATTGTATTAATTTTTATATATAGCCCCACGCGGAATTTCTCTCATCCCTGATGATGCCGTCGATCGCCGGTGAAAGCTTGGATTTATAATTGTTAATTTTAACAGAAGTTTAAGGTCTCATTCGAACTTTAATATTGGTTTTTTAAAATGCCACTGAAGGACAAAATGCAAAGATTAGTAGTCTTATTACAATAACTTCTTACAGTCTAAGAATGAAAAGCAGTTTGTTCAAAACCGAAAAATAGCACAGGAACGTAGGAAAAATCCGGGAAAGGATATTTATCTAAATTAAATTTTTCAGACTAGCACTCAGCTGGATTTGAGCCATCAGGGAACTAGTTAACATTCAGAAAGATTAGTCTGATATTAGAGGTGTATTTTAATAATAATAAAAATGTTTTATTGGTGATGTGTAGTTAGACTCTCCGGGAACATGACATTTCTATTAAGGAGCTGCTTACCACGCTTCGATCTCTTGAGGATACTAAATCATCAAGAGAATATGGCTTCACTAAAGAATTCTATGAAACTTTTAAAACAGGCAAGAGAGAATGACGTATTCTCTCTTGAAACAGGTTATTTGCGAGTTCCAAAAACTCTTACTTCACTAAAAAACCCTTCTAATGAAAATAAGTTTTATTTGCATGAGAATAAAAATAAAATCAATTTTCATATTATTGGCTTCGCACTTAGCCTCGCTTTAAATTGGCACCTTTTAAAAAAGACATTTGCATGATAGCGTCATTTTACTACCATGACCAGAATCCTTTTCGTTTTTCCCTTCATATTTAAATTCTGTAACCCCAGGGGATACGGAAATAAAGTGTTTGGTTTTGTTTTAATGCATGCATACTTGCACTGTTATTACTAGTGTGTTCCCCTGACCAGGGCTATATCAGGGTTTTTGTTTACGATGATAATGTTGTGGAATACAAAATCAAATAAATCATAACTCATGTTCAGTTAAAAATTCTGTCACCTATTTTGATACTTGGTAATTTTGGAAACGTGAGCGGGAGGGGTGGGCAGGCCTTGAGTCCCCATAGCGAGGAGGCTTATAAAGACCTTAGTTACTTGAATGACGTGTACAAGCGTGCAATAATCTATAGCCAGGGACAAGAAGAAAGTTCGTGCGATGTGGAAAATTCTTTGAATTCTTTGCTGTGGAACAGACGTTATGATATTTAGCCGCTTAAAATGCAGAAAACACAACCGTCATGGGGTGGGGCCGGAGGAACTTGGAACACACTGTAAAGCAGCTTTGGAGCCATTTGTTGGTACTCAAAATATGGTGGAATTATAGGATTAAATATTTGCCTTTTGTTATGTCTAATTGTTAACACGGATTTCTAAATTTGTACCACCAGAATAGATATGACAAGAAAAATCATATTCTAGATGTTACCTTCGATTTACGCCGGGTTATCGTTTTTTTTTTTCTTTTCCCAATCTTGCCATTTTTGAAATGAGGAGCATGTTAGTGGCGAAGGATTTATGTAAGAGTCAATGTCTTGCCTCTTACTTCAAGTATGCTTTATATAGTGACGTCGCACAATAAAAAGGCAAAACACAAACCCTAACCCTACAGGAATTCTTTTGTTGACTGCATTGTACTGGAAATCTACGAGATGGTTTACGGACAAACTAGCAGATTCGTTGCAGCTGGTGGATTACTAGTAACCATCTCGAAAAAACTAACTCTTCATCCTTACTCGAAAATCCAACTAAATCCAAAATCGAAACGCCAACTCGAAATCCTAACACGGAAGTTAGTTTGTCTCGTTTCGTCCCGGTCTCATGTAATCGACTGCAAAATTACAAATTCGTACCGGCCTGAGCTCGTCTGGGTCTCATGTAATTACCCCCTAAATGGTCCAATTATAGGCCCAAAGGGCAAAGTACCTCCTTATTTCCAAGGTTAAATACAAATTGGGACGAAAGATCTTTCTATACTGGTTCGGCTGTTTTCAAAAACTGTTCCCAAACTCATTAATAATTCATTAAGAAAATACAAAGGAAATTAATGTTTAATGAGTGTTTGGAAATCGGATGAAACACTGCTTAGTATTTGCGTCCTTAATTTCTCCTTAAAAAATGATTTTGTTTGAGAAGAAATATCAAACATTCGACACAGTGTTTCATCACCAGATGAAACACCTCGAAGTTCGTCAAAAATACTCCGCTGCGCGTCGTATTTTCAACTCTCTTCTCGGTGTTTCATCTGGTGATGAAACACTGCATCTCATGTTTGATATATTACTTAATATATTATCGGTATAATTTCTTAGGCGACTTGATTCTCTCCAGTCAGGAATTATCAATGATATCCGCGGGGTCTTCGACAAACAATTGTTAAATACAAAATAAGTGGCTTTCAGATTGCTAATAATACCTTTCAACACAACCGATTCTTTTTTCCAAGTTCTCCTAATTTCTGAAATGATTAATTTATTTTTATATTTACTCAAGAACAATTCATTGATGTGGTTGTACAAATGTCATCTAAAAAAATTGGAGTAAAACTGGGGAAGGTAGATAAATCAGAGACCGATATCTATGGGTCTTTTATTAGACTAAAATTTTAGGAGTTTTATCGCTCAACGTTTACAAAGCGAAAAATTTAAGTGAAAAGAAACGACGAGAGTAAGGTAAAACTCTATGTTAAGTAAGATAACTTATTTATTAGCACGTTTTTATATATTTATTGAGTTGTTTTTAAAATAGAATAATATTATAATACAGCTGTAACTATTATAGATTTTATTTATACACCTTCGTATTTTGAACGATTTTTTTTGGCACCTCGACGTTACGTGTCAAAATACATGATTGATGATTGATAACTGATATTTGATGATTTTGTCAAGGATGATTTTGCCGACTTTTAAAAGATCATTCTCTAAAAAAATGGGAAAAACACCGAGCTCACACATTATCCACTCGCTAGGAGGTGAATATTGTTGAATAGTCTGAGATAGCGAACCAATCAGATTGCTTAAATCACCATGATCTGACTGAGTGTGTATATACTAAATCCCCTTAATTTATCCTCAGCATCTTTACCCCTCTTTAAAATATAAAAGTCGAACACAAGATATTTCTGGAGAATATCTTAACGGAATTGCGATCGCGAAAAAATATGTATAAAAATAAAAACAAACACCTATTTTGTTTAGTTAAGTGTGAGTGTGATGATTTAAGTCATGATGGGCCAACATACTTTCGCATATTCACTGCTTCCTTAGCAGCCAGATAACAAGAAATGAGAACCAATATAACAAACTATCAGTCAATCGTGATTTCAAGTCAATTATCAATACATGATCAAGCTTTATAACACTGTTTTCAATCCATAAAATTGATACAAGACGATAGTCTGCATCTTATTCTTCTCTAAAAGTAAACGAACGGCGCTGATTAGAATTCAAAGGTATGACCCTAGGATAAATAGGCAGCATACATTACGACGAGTTATTTGTTTAAAATAATACATTCAAAGGCAAATTTAGACAAAAATAAGATATCTCCATTCATTCCTGGCACATTTTCCTCGCCTCTAAAAAAGAGGTTTGGGGTTTGCCAAGGAGATGGAATCCGAAGAAAATATTCCATCTCACGAAAAATCTTTACAGAGAGCGAGTGAGAAAGAATCACTGTTGCAAGCTACAGATGAAACACAGCTTGTCAGCGATAATCATACACAGGGAGGATTATCCATTGAGAAATTAGAGAAATGGCGCAAGGTGACAATTGTTGTTTGCCTTGCTTCTATAGTTTTCACATTGGTTCTTGGGATCGGTGCGTTAGTCATCTCTCAGACCTCGGATAGTTCCTCTGCTTTTGCAGTAGCACTCGACGCTGTTCTGGCCATTATATCATCAGGATCTGTTATATGGAGGTTTTACTACGGGATAAATGGCAACGGGCGGACGAGGAGGGAGTGGAAAGCCTGCACCATCATTGCCAGTTGTTTTATCTTCTCAGGGGTTTTGGTGGTCGGACGAGCTATTATCTGCATCGCGAGAAATTACAAGCCGCGTCATGCCCAAGATTTGCTCATCATGTCAGTTATCAGTTGCGTGGGTTATTTTCTGCTTTTTCTCGTCAAACTGTGTTTAGCAAAGAAACTTGAAAGCTCAGCTCTTGTCGCAGACTCAATAGACGCTCTTAGTGGTTCTGGAATGTCGGCCGGTGTGATTACAAGTGCTTTGGTGTTAGAATACATTCGCAAAGCATGGCTTATAGATCCATGCACCGCGATTGCCATCGCTTTAGCGACAGTTATCTACGGAATTGAAATCTTGCTTCGAGTTGAACGAGAAAAGAAGAAGGTCAAAAAAGTTAGAGAAGCCGGGCAAGAGCTTCAGGAGAAATAAGATGCAAAAAGGGAATCGGACAAAAAACGATAACTTCAGTGTACGTGTGTGTACGTCTGTTTGGCTCCAACGGGCGCTTCTCCCTCAAGAAAACTGTCACTTCTTGCTATTTACTTATTCACACACTCCAAAGTACACATTCTCTCCTGCTAGTCTAGTCTACAAAACAAAATTATATTAATTTTTATATATAGCCCCACGCGGAATATTTTCCCATCCCTGATGATGCCGTCAATCGCCGGCGAAAGCTTGGATTTATATTTTAACAGAAGTTTAAGGACTCATCCGAACTTAAATAATGTTTTTTCTAAATGCTACTGAAGGACAAAATGCAAAGATTATTACAATAATTTCTTACAGTCTAAGGATTAAAAGAAGTTTAAAAAAAATAAAAAAAATAGCAGGGGAACGTTGGAAAAATCCGGGAAAGAATATTTATCTAAATTAAA